TATATATATATATATATATATATATATATATATATATATATATGTTACTTGATTTTAATATGTTAATATATGTGTCTTGTGTGGTGATAATTCACAGGAAGTATTAAGACAAATACAGAAAATCAAGTTTCTCATGACAAGGTTCTCTTTCTTCTCTCTTCAATCTTGTTTTTATTTATTTTTTGTTAATTTCCTCATGGGGTAAAATGGAAAGGATTGGGTTGAAATTAAAAAAAAAATAAAATGAATTGAGATAATAGAAAAGTTTGAAATTTGTATTAACACTTGACACTTTCACTTGGAATTTTTATATTTATGTGGTTTGATACAAAATTTAAATAGATATATATTTTTTCTTATTTATGGTCTAAAAACAAACTTTAGTCACTTAAGTGATTATAAATCATCTTAATTTAATATTTAAAAAATGAGAATTTTAAAAATAAATTGTGAACATATGGAATCTTTCACTTAAAATATTCCTTATATTCGTTTTTTTTTGTTTGTAACTTCAAATTATATTTTAAAGTCAAATTAAGTTGTAAATGATTTATATATGTCCAAGTAATTTATTTATTTTTATTGTTGAAGGTGGTATTGATGGATGAGTTGGAGAAGAAGAGGGAATTGTTGGTGGAAAGAGATGATTATGCAGGAACAGGTGCAAATAATCATCATGACCCAAAGCCTCCTGGCTCTCAATGGTCAAATCTTAATTAATTAATTAATTAATTGCGTTTAAGATTATGTTTATGTGTACAAAAGATGAAATAAAGATTACCAAGGAAGGATATATATATGCAGTACTACTCTACTCAAGTACATGTAATTATATATGTTGCTTGTTTTATATTCTTATTAGGAACTGCATTATTGTCCTTTCTTCCTTCGTACTGATTCATGTAACAGTGATTGCGTGAACATAATGTTGTTGTTTTTGGGAAGAGGTGTTATTAATAACACCTTTATCGATACGATAATTGAGTCTAACTATATTTTTTTTGGGAAGAGGTGTTATTAATAACACCTTTATCGATACGATAATTGAGTCTAACTTAATTTTTAAAAAATTAGCTTTGGAAGAACGAAGGATTTTTTCAAGTTTACATAGCCAGTCTCCCACTCTATTTTTCAATGGAAAAAAGGATAAATATACCCCTAAAATATCGTAATTGATATGCAAATATCAGATACATTCCGTTATATTTTTGGGACTAGTGCTCCTGCCATCCAAAAATTAGAGCGTATATGTCCTTCACTCTAACGGAAGACTATATAGGGACATCTGACAATCTTATTCATCGATTCAACGTTGGGTGGGTGGAAAAAATTATAACACGTGTATTTTTGTTAATATAAAGAGTATATATACTCTAGTTTTTAGACGATAGGGGCACTAATGTCCCAAAAGTATGATGAAGGGTATCTGTGTACCATTTATAATAGTTCAGAGGTATATTTGTCTTTTTTTCGTTTTCCAATATATGAATTTTAACTAGATGTAATTTATTACGTACACTCTCGATTTTTCTGTCACGATCAAAACCGTTGTGAGTGACATTCACACTATTTTTCTATTGGTAGAATCATTAATGTTAACCAACTAATCCCAAGCTGAGTATTTAAAAATACGAAAGCAAGTTTAAATGTCAAAAATAAAATTGAGTTCTCATAAACTCCAAAAGTCTAATAACGGATCGCATAATTAAATACCTAGATACTTTAAATGTACCAATATATGAACAAGGAACCATCTAAATAGAAAAAGAACTCATGGCAACTCGGAAGAACCGGTTCACCTTGAATTTGATTCGATCACTTATGTTCTAAGCGAGGTCTATCAAAGACTGCTTGAATATGTCTTATACGAAACAAAGAAAGAGCAAATGCAGCATCAGTATACAATCACAGTGTACTGGTAAAATTACACGACTATTCCTCTAAGATCAATATATAAGCAAGTCAATACAACATTACAAACATGCATATACCAAACATGCACAATATCAATTATCACATTCTCAACAATATGCATTTACAACAGGTCATTGGTCCTATCATGGAATCCATACTCAAATAATTAGTGTATGGATCGTGGCACCCGTTTCAAGTTTGTCTGTTAGATCGTGTTACCTATTTCAAGTTTATGCTAGTACGTGGCAATCGATTCCAGTTAGTATGTCGAAAAGTGACAGACGCTCCAATCAAAATACTATAATCACAATCACACTGTACATTGTCACAATCATACAATTAAGAGGTTAAGAAGTGGTTCACGACATATAGTTATTTGTTCATACTCATTTATGATTAGTGTGATAAAAAATTAAATATTCACATTGCTCTAGTGTCATGGACATTATTTGTTATTGTTGTAACGAACATCCAATTGACTTGTAATACAAATCTATAGTTAGTTTTGATAGTTTTAAAATTTATGAGTATGATTCATATTTTTCTAAAAGGGTGAAATATATTTCCCAAATTCTATGGCCAAACACATGGTGAAATTTCACCCAAATTTCACTCAAATAATATTTGCCAAGAATATTTAGAAATTTATGGCCAAACACTAGCTTAGCCTCAAGAATGATGAGAATGTCAATGAATTTTTTTGAGGTTTATTTTCGACTAGGGTCGTCTCCTAGCTCTCAAAATTGAAAAATGCAGAATAATGACGTTTTTGAGGTTTATTTTCGACTTAAGTTGTGACTGACCCGCTATGGCGGCCCAAATCCCGCCAGAGCGGCCCTGCCTTGGCGGCACTAATCCCGCTCTAGCGGCTTGCACAGAGATAGAACGTCGGATTTTGAGTTCACTACCCCCATTTCACAACAAACCTTCAATCTATGACACTCAGAAAATACGCGTTCATGCCAAGATCAATTACGAAAGTTCTCCTCACTCGAATTTGATTCTGTTAAGTCGTACGTATTCCTTAACGTCTTAGTTATGTACTCATATAGTAAAATTAATAATTAGACCTCCTATTTGTTACCAACGTTACTGACTTTGATTTCGTTCAAATCTGGATTAGGTTGAAAATTTCTAAATAATACCAAAAAGTTTTTCGGCACAATATTTTTTCGTTGGTTTTTCTATAATGAGAAAAACGATCGTTACACTTTCAGTCGATAAACATTTAGGAAAATTAGGTGGATCTCGAATATGTGTATAAGAAAAAAATATGTCATTACGTAAAAGAATGATGGGTAGACTCCTTAAATGACTTGAACAGTTTCTCTTCCTTTAAGCTTGCTTTTATGTTGTGAGTTAGATCTATAATCTATTTAACATGGTATCATAGCAAATCTATCTCACTCAATGTTGACACCCCAAGTTGGATATTAAAGAATGACAAAAAGTTAATTCTTTATAAGGTTTGGACAATTTCCCTCTATTTAAGCTTGTTTTAAGAGTGAAATAGACTAAAACCTAATTTTTAGAGTGAACTAGGCTAAAAATCTAATTTAACAATCTTATGTATTTGTTCTTCTGTAATTACAGTGTAAGGTTCTTTTTAAGAAAGAAAATATTTTTGTAACCTTACTTATTCTTAACTAGTAAACTTAGCCGCGCTATGCACGGTATTTAAAAATTTTTATTTTTATTTAATTTTTAAATCAATAGATTAGTTAATAAATTTTATTATTTAGCTTTATAATTTCAATTCAATTCATGAATTAATTTTATCAAAAAATAAAAATCTGTACCGTCAAATATCTATACTTTTTTTGGTTGAATAGTACCTATTCTTTTATGTTAGTTATAATATATAATTAAGAATTTATGACTTCATTATCCATTTGAATGAGTCCTCAAAATTAAATATGGTTAACTTTGATGTTTTGTTAAAAATTTAAAGTGAGATTTTTAGTCTTTTAAATTTTTTTAAAAATATCAAAAAAATTAAAATAGTAACAAATTCAAAAACAGACCTAGAAATATGAAAAATTATTCGTAATAGATAAGCTACCTATAATTTGAAGACTTAAAAAAGTACTTCAATATTTATATATT